CTCTCTCTCTCTCTCTCTCTTTCTTTCTTTCTTTCTTTCTTTCTTTCTTTCTTTCTTTCTTTCTTTCTTATTTTTTAAAGCAATCCTCTTGCCTCAGCCTCTCAAGTGCTGAGACTATAGATTTGTGCCACCACACTCCATGATCTTTTCTTTTCTTCTTTTTTGTTTTTTTTGAGACAGGGTCTCACTATGTAGTGGAGACTGACCTGGAATTCACTATGTAGCCCAAACTGGTCTTGAACTCACAGCGATCCTCCTGCCTCAGCCTCCCGAGTGCTGGGATTACAGGCGTGCGCCACCATGCCAGGCTGATCATTTCTTTTTCTGATGCAGAATATTAAAGTGTTTTCTTGCATATGTGTACACATATACACAAATATACATGCTGCTCTGTGTTTTTGAACTATCCATAAAGAAAACGAGTCATTTATAGGAAAATGGATAAAATCAGACACACAAGCTGAAATATCATGCGGTTTTTCTTACATGAGAAGCCCAAAGTACAAATAAAGAACAAAATAAAAGAGATAATAGGAAGTAGGGAGATCTTTCTCAAATGGGAAGGGCATTGAGGAACTGGAGGGAATTCGGGGGGAGAGAGGAGGGGACGAAGAAAGGCGTGAAGGTGCCGGTGTACCTCTACCCACCCACACCGGGAGCCTAACGTGCTCATGAAACGCTGCCTCCCTGTCACCCTTGATGCTCTTGAGTGGGTGGTGCACCTGCTTTCCTTTGGTGCTTAACCGCCCTTGGCTCGGTTGTTACGGAAGGAATCAGTAAGTGACACGCAGAGAGGCAGCAGAATGGAAGTAAAATAACAAATGTACTCATCGATAAGGGTCGATCGCAAATAAGCCAGGCCTGGATCAAGGACGCACTGGGTTACCTCCTTTTATAGGGTTTTACAGCCTTGACTTCATTTGGGTGGTTACATTTCATTCTCACAGTTCAAATCACGGTCACAGAGTAGTTAATCTTTTCAACCCAGACGTAACAGTTCTTTGCAGTTGGGGAGTTTACCTTTAAGATTCACCGAGTTATCTTCCTAGTCCATAGGAAAGGGGGGTGTTCAGGGTCGGGAGCAAATGTTAGCAATGGGTCCTTTCATCTTGACACTCTTACGATCATGTGGCTCCAGTCTCTACAGAGCTGGAGACCTTGATGTGCCCTGTTATCTCAGGGTCAGACCAAATGCCTCAGTCAGCAGTTAGTGCCTTGGGTGCCTATTAGTTCTGAGCTAAACAAACAAACTTCTGTTAGAGACAGCAGAAGCCACTTTACATTGTAACACTTTATAGGTTTTGCTATTTATAAAAGTTTTCCCTATCACTGTCAATTAAATATGAGGCTGTTGCTGCTAAAGTGTTACTGAGCAGGGCACGACGGAGTTCATGGCACACCACTGGAACGCAGGGTATCAGGCAGAAGACTGTCTTAGAAAGTAGCCCCTTGGGGCCGGGGATTTAGCTCAGTGGTTCCGCTGCCTGCCTTGCAAGTGCAAGGACCCGAGTTCAATCCCCGGTACCAAAACAAGGTAGCCCATTGTTGGTGTCAGCGTTAGGGAGACACGTGGAAGTGAGACAGGGATGGACAGTGCTCATCAGTGAATCTGGAATCCTTTCTCTGCTTCAGGGGCACAAGAGGAAGAACTGGAAGGTGCGTCGTTTTGTGTTGAGGAAGGAGCCGGCTTTCCTGCATTACTATGACCCTTCCAAAGTGAGTGTGCCCGCTCCCCCGGGAACCGCCACACAGCAGGCTGCCACTCTCCCTCCTTCCAGGACCCAGTCCCCGCCAGCTTCCGCACCGGGCCTCGCCTCTGTCTCATGTTGCCTGCTCACCTCCCACTTCCATGAGAGAGGATCCTTGATATTTTGAGAGGAAAGGCATCTTGTACTTTCGCCAAAGTCTGCTCCAGGGGCGGGGCTGACGAGAGTCTTAACTGGTGCTTCCCAGTCTCTTTTCTTCTTTTCATCCAGAAACCCAGAAATTCCTCAATTTCTTGTTCTCACCTACATTTTTTTTTTTTTTTTATTGAAACAGGGTCTCACTATGTAGTTGAGACTGACCTGGAGCTATGTAGCCCAGGCTGGTCTCGAACTCAGCGATCCTCCTGCCTCAGCCTCCCGAGTGCTGGGATTACAGCCATGTGCCACCACACCCGGCCTCACCTATGTTTTGAAGTGCTTCTTTTTATCACGTATTTATGATGTTACTAATTTTCTTATTTTTGAATTGATCCAAGAATTGCTTTTCAAGTTTCAGTTGAGTAGGTCCTCATGCTGAGTTAATCCAGTTCCAGTCAAAAGAGAAGTGCAGTGGCCTTTAGTTGGGCTCTTCAGCCTTGTTTTGATGCTTGTGTGGATTTCATTTGAAATAGTGAAAAGGAAGCAGTTGTTCCTCTTGGGATTTCAGTCAAGAACCCCTTTACTCAGCTGGGAGCTGTGAGGGAGCCCCAGGACTCGGCAGGAATAAGGAGGGCTGAGGCCAAGGGAAGACATGACTGATGGCTGCTTAAGGGGTCACCCTCCTGGGGCATCCAGAAGCACTCAGTTGACCTCTTCAGGTTCATGGTGTCCTGGCTGCGGGACCAGGTCAAACTTTTGTGTCTACTCTAGTTCCTTTTTTTTTTCCTGGTACCAGGGGTTGAACTCAGGACCTTAATTCCATTATGAAGCAAGGAAAAACAATGAGTAAAGTAGGCACTTCAGTTTTTGCATTTGTCTCTCAGTCCTGCCCAGTCTACACTCTATCCTCGATGAGTCCATGGCCTCAGCCCAACTCCTTCCGAAAAGACATTTTTATGGTTGATTTTCTCCCTGGCCTGCCATCACCCTTCCTCCTGGCCGGGCTGAGGGGCCACTCTGTGTCCAGGGCTTGCTTCTCAAGGCCAGTTCTGTCCCCTCCTTGAGGCTGCCTTCAACCGTAGCGGGGGGTAGATTGAGCCCCTACCGGTGGTGGGTTTCTTCTTCCTCTGAACTTTTCCTCCTTTGGCATTGAAGAGTGAACATCTCTGTCATTGCTATTTAATAGCTTTTTTATTTTTTGCCATACTTCTTGCTGGGCGCACCACTCAATATGAAATTGATTATTGCTTAATTGAAGGGAGTCCTGTGCTGAGGCTCCTGGTGTGTAAAACTGCTCTGAATCATCCTGAGATGTTGGTCACTGAGTTTCATGCCAAGAACATAACAGAGTCTTGTATAATGGTGTCTGATGTACAGGACTGTTTTACCAGTTTTGCAGAAAAAACTATAAATATATGTTTTTTTTTCCTGACTGATGGTTAGGATGCACACAGGATTAGAGAAGTCAGTGTGTGCTTCTCTTAGTGTTTGATCAGAGGCTCTATTTGAGAGGTGTCTGAGAATAAAAAGCAGCTTGATGCTTACCCCCACCAGACTTGGCAACAGCAACACTAGTGGCACTGTCGATATTAGCAACGCTGCTATTAGAAACAAGGAGGCCTGAACTTCCTTACTTGTACGTGTACTCTGGCCATGTGATGTCCAGGTTCAGCCTCATTTTTTGTGGGGGGACCTTGCGCTTGCAAGGCAGGTGGTGTCACCACTCAACTAAATCCCCGGTGTCATCTTCTATTATTGTAATTAATTTTCTCTATTTTTATGGTGCTGGGGATTGAACTTGGGGCCTCCAACATCTCAGGCAGATACTGTACAACTGAGCTACATCTCCAGCCCCCCAAATGAGGATGGTAATAGGGGATGGTGTGACTTAACCTTTTGTGCATTCATAAAATTGCTTTTCCTCTGCAGGAAGAGAATAGGCCAGTGGGTGGTTTTTCTCTTCGTGGTTCACTCGTGTCTGCTCTGGAGGATAATGGCGTTCCCATGGGTAAGGTACAACTTCAGCCCTGACCCAATGGCCTCTGGGTCTCTCTCCTGTGCCTTAGTAATGTTTCTAAGGAAAGCCTGCACGGTGTGAGCTGAGCAGGGGCCTTACTCAGTGAGACAATGAATGGCCTATTTTTTGGTTGTTTCAGTGGCACTGGGGATTGAACCCAGTCCTTCATATTGAATTATATCTCCAGCACCACCCCCCAACCTTTTTTGGTTTTTTAAGACAGGGTCTCGCTATATAGCTTAGGCTGGCCTTGAACTTACTATGTTTCTGGTCTTGAACTCACAGCAACCCTCCTGCCTTAGCCTAACCACAGGTGCTACCATGCCTGGCTTTCCCAGCCCCTTTTGAAAGAGGCTCTAAGTTGCCCAGCTGGGTTCAAACTAGTGATCCTTCTGCCTCAGCCTCCCAGAGTGCTGAGATCACATGTGCACCATCACGCCCAGCTATGGTGTGTTTTGAAGCCAGTTTCAGAAATAGAGGAAAGGGTATATGGGATGTTCTTAATACAAGAATTCAAGTAAATAATCTAATTGAATACGTACTCTTCACCCTCAATTTCTGTGCTGATAGCCAGCCTGTAAGATTCCACCTGAGAACAGGAGCTAAGGCTTATACTGTTTAGGTTATGTTTCTTCCTGTTGTTATACTTATTTCATACTAGCCAGCCACGGTAGGAGGATAACATTCCATCTTGAGGATGTGGAAAATGAAGCTCAGAGTCAGGCTAAATTCTGTACCCGCTTTCAACTTAAACGCACTGGATTCTTTGATGTGAATGAAACTATAGGTGTATGCCTAGCATAGGGAGAAAGCAGAAGGGCTGCAGGAACGTCCAGATAACCAGTAGTAGGTCCTAAGGTGCTTTGGAGGGAGTAGGGAGTGAGGAAGGAAAAGAGAAATGCATGTGTCTGTAATTTGTGTGAAGAATGAGCTTTTGCCCTTGTCTTATTTGACTTGCAGCTCCTTCAAGGTGAAAGCAGATGTGGATATTCAATCACTTAATTTTTTTTTTTTTTTTTTTGCTGCCTAGGAGTTAAAGGAAATGTCCAAGGAAATCTCTTCAAAGTGATTACAAAGGATGACACACACTATTATATCCAGGCCAGCAGCAAGGCTGAACGAGCAGAGTGGATTGAAGCAATCAAGAAGCTAACATGACAAGGACCAAAAGGAGCAGGACCAGGACTCCTCCCTCCAATGGGATTTCCTGGAGAATGGGTGTTAGGTACGACTTGGGCTAGGGATGTCGCTAAGTGGTAGACTGCCTGCCTTGCAGGTGCAAAGCTGGGTTGAATTCCCAGCACATCAAAAAAAGACTTCTAATGTAAATTTTGCACTGCTTTGGAGTGAGACTACTGAATAGTTCCTTGGATGATGCACAGCAGTGGTGCTAGGATAGCCATTAGGTCCCAGCATCTCAACTGTTGCCCATTGGGATGGTCAGCCATGTCTTTGGGCAACAGAGCCAAATCCCTGTTAGAACACTAACACTGCCCATGCTATTTAAATAATTCATCTGAGGGTGCTTCTCCGAAATGTAACTTTTACTTCCACCTTTGGAATAAAATTTAACATTTGTTTCTGGCTGCTGTAAATTTTTTTTTTTTTTTTTTTTTTTTTTTTTTT